AAAATTAACACATTTGCATAATAAATGTATTGAAATAAAATCAAATTAAACAATAAAAACATAATACAAATATGAAACAAACAACCATTACTAATTTAAAATATTATAGTATTAGAGAAAGTGTTAAGATATGTATAATATATTATGAATATATTAAAAATAAATGTGTCTTAGAATTTGAATGTACTTGATAAATGGAGTAAATTTGAAATAATTATAAAATCAAATTATTAAGTCTAATAAACATTTTATAAATAATTGTTTTTATTTGGAAATGTTGTGATTTAATTCTCTTATTAATATAAAATTTTTTAATTTGAAATTAATTATAAAAATAATTATAAGAAATACTTTTTACTCTGTTGTTCTTAAAAAAGAATAAGTTATTGTTTCTTTGTTTCACAAAGTTAACAAATAGATTTTGGTGAGACATTATTTGCGATATTTAATAAACTAAATAATAATGTAAAAAATAACATAAGAAATTCAAAATTTTTCATTTCTATTCTTAAATAGTAACTCTGAATTTAAAAATTATACCAATATTATTCTTATTAATTGTGACAGGATAATAGAAACTATATACAATATTCCAAATAGTAATAAAATACTTTTCTTAAATAAAAATAGGTATGATGCAAATAATACAGTTATTTTAATAGAATGATGCAAATTTTTTCTGATATATAAACACGATCTTAATACATTAAAACATATCAATGGAAGAAAAACAATGTGAATATTGTGGAGAAACTACTGGAATTGTTCAGTGTCAATGTGGAAAACATTTTTGTAATGGCAAAATTATGAATGCAGGAGTGTGCCAACTCCTTCATCATATGAGAGTCAATTCTCATTTTAGTGTCTCTTTTAACGGAGTAATACTAAAATGTTCTAAATGTGAAGAAACAAATATATACAATCTTCATTATAAATACAATTCAAAAGATTTCTTATGTTCTCATTGTTTAAAAAGTCAGAGTAAAATAAACAAACGATTATATAGTAAGAATATTGTTAATGAAGGTGCTGTTATAATAGATAACTATGATGTTGGTCAATCTGTTTCTTGTGTTAAACAAGACTTAGTTGACAAGATCGAGGCTCAATTCCCAAAAGAAAAAACAGAAAAAAGAGTTAAAAATGAATATCCAACACTTGATGATTATGTTCAGACTTACTTATATCTCTCTAGAATTGAAAAGAAAGAAGAACGTAGTGTAGTTGAAGTTGAATTAAGACAAGAAAAACAACGTATTAAATTTATTAAACACCCTGGATTTACAACTGTTGAAATTAACCTTCCTAAAGCTATTGGAGGTCTTCAGTTAGAAGATGAAGTGATTATTAGTTGTGGTGGATTAAAAGGAATGGTTAATGATACAAATTCAACAGAAACTAAGTTATTTCCATCTCTAATTTTCAAGTCATCAAAATGTGTGTTTGGAGGAAATATTACATCAAGTAGAGGTAAAACAGTTGTTGTTAGATTACAAGATTTTCTTTTTGGAATAGAATCTACAGATTATAAGACAGGTACAACTACCATGAAGTATCCAACAAATGAGGAAAAATGGAAATACAATGAAGAAATAGTGAAGAAAACATCGTTATTTAGGATATATTTTCTTACTAATGATAAAGGAAATCCATTCATTAGAACATTAGATGTATTACAATCACGAGAAATTGATGGATATTATTCAAAAATATTGTGTTGTAACAAGATCCAATTAACAAAAACAAAAGAAATAATAACTTATGAAGAAATGTCAGAAGAGAAATACAATATTCCTAATTTATCTAATTTGAACGATTATCAAACGAAAGCAATTTATAATGCGTTAAACGAAGATATTTCACTTGTAATAGGACCACCTGGAACTGGTAAAACTACAGTTGCTGTATCAATTGCACAATACTTGATTTATAACAAACGTAGATTTTATAAAATAAATCGAGGTGAAAAAAAATTATTAGTTTGTGCATCAAGCAATAATGCTGTTGATGTGATTTGCTCAAAACTTATTGAAAAAGGTATTCCAACAGTTAGAGTAGTTGCAGATGAACAGTTTGAAAATTGTAGTGATAAAATAAGAGAAAATTCATTATTAAAAAAAGCAATAGAATTTACAGAGAAAAAAGGAATTAATGAAGTGGCAATAACACAATCTGGTCAAATTATTATTAACTCAGTTTTAGTACAAAGAATAAAGAAACAAATACAAAATAAAAAAACAGGTAATGGTTTCGGTGATAATGTTGAATTTGGTGTTGAATTTGATGATGTTTCAAATGATGAATCTGATGATGAATTAGAAGAATCAAAAATAGTCAATATAAGAGAATTACTAAAGAAAAAGTATGGACAATATCCAACAGAAGATGAAAATAGAGAAGTTCAAAAATGTTATGAAACATATCTATCAACACCAATTAATCAGATAAAATATGGAGCATTTGAAAATTTTGTCAAACAAACTAATTCAGAAATACAAAAAATTATTGATAGAGTTTCTCAAAGAATAACATTAGAAGAAAATAGATATATTAATAACTTCACCTCAACTCATTTTGATGACATATTATCTGGAATAGAATGTGTTTGTTCTACACTCACTATTTGTACTCGTTCAATAATGCTAAAACAAAAATTTTTTGCATCTATTGTTGATGAAGCTGCTCAATCTCTTGAACCAGAGACATTGGCTGGAATTATTAATGTTAGAAAAACTGTGTTAATTGGAGATATTCAACAATTACAACCAACATGTCTTTCAACTGAAGCTAGAGAAGCAGGATTCCAAAAATCAATGTTTGAACGATTTATGGCAAATACACAAATCAAAAGAACAATGTTAAAAACACAATACAGAATGCATCCAGCAATTTCAGAATTCTCAAATAAAATGTTTTATTCTTCTAAATTAGAGAATGGAGTGAGTAGTGATGATAGATTTGATGATAGGATTATTAACTTCTTCCCAGATTACACAAATCCTATAATGTTTATTAACTGTGATGGAACAGAGCATTATGGAAGTAGTGGAACAAGTTATAATAATGCAGGAGAAGTTCAAATAATACAAGAGGTTGTTGAGAAATTGTTGAATAACGATATTGAAGAAAATGAAATAGGAATTATTTCACCATATCAAGCTCAACAAGAACTTATTTCTCAGTATGTTTCTACAAAGATTAAAGTTGCTAATATTGATGGATTTCAAGGAAATGAAAAAGAATATATTATATTTTCTTGTGTTAGGTCAAACCAAACTCTTGGTGTTGGATTTGTGAATGATTATAAAAGACTAAATGTTGCATTAACAAGAGCTAAAAGTGGATTAATTATTATTGGTAATATCCCAACATTAATAACATCTAAAGTTTGGAATATGCTAATTCATCAATTTTATTTGAGAGATGCTTTATTTGAATTGAAAGAACATGACTTTGTTCAATACAACGTTGAAAACCAAGAAGAATTTAATCGTCCATTAGAAAAATCTCCATTCCAAGTTCAATATGAGGTTGATGACTCCGATTTGTGTTGTAAACCATTCGATAAGGAGAATGAATTTTCTAGACGAGAATTAAATGATGTTTGGGATTATGATGATTACTATTATGACGACTGCTGTTATGATGATTTGTATTGAGGCTAAATAAAACATGAAATAATTAAGTAGAATATATTTTTTAATAAACATTCTTGAAGTGTTTATTTTTTATTCAAACATAATTAAATGAAGAATGAAAATCAGAAACATATACAAACAATAATACAAAATCAAATAATAATTTTATCAATTGATATTTGGTTATGATGATGTAATTGAATAAAAAATGTATTAATTAATAATACAAAGAATGAAATAAGATAATATGAAAGAATAATAAGAAAAGAAAATAAATATAATAATAAGCAATTAATTAAGTATTCATTCAACATAAAATAAGAAATAAAGAAAGAATAATAAATAACTCAAAGTATTATTTTTATTGACAATACTTTTAGATAATTAATTAATTGAATGAATCATTTGATAATGAATAACAAAAGAATGTTGGAGAATTTGAATTTTGACTACGTTTTAATAATTAATTAGTGATTATTTAATTGAATTATAATAAAAATAAAGGAGAATGATAGTCATAAAAAATAGTTCAAATTAAAATTAAAAAGAAAAATTAAAGATAATACAACAACAAGAAATAATAAAGAGTGAATGAATGAAACATTGATACTATCAATGTTTTTGATGATATTGATGATTTTATTGATTTATAAATACGAGTTAAAATATTTCAATGAAATATGAATATTTTCATTTTATTCCAATTTCATTTTAATTATTATTCAAGAAGATTATTTGATAATATTGAATCATTTCATAATGGTATTGAATATTGAAGAATATTTAAACTATTAATATGGTATGATGTAGAATAATCAATAAATTTACAAAAGAAAAATAATGAAATGAATGTAAAAATATAGAATATTCAAAATATGATAGAATAGAAGTTACACCACTTGGATATAAATGTTTTAAATACTTGTTATCCATAACATCAATTAACATTCCAACAATAACAGTTACAATAGTTGTTGAATGTTGTTGTTATAACTGTGGATGTACAGAATAGTTGAAGAAGAATAAGATAATATCAAGATTATCTTTTGACTTTACAATGAAACAAAAAACAATAATTTATTGAGTTAATTTGTTAATTATTTGAATAAACAATTTGAAAATGCTTTATGAATATCAAAATATTATAAAATCACTGTTTCACCGATGTGTAACAATTAAGTTTATTTCAAGAAAATAATTGTTCAATAGTAACATTAGTTGTTAAGAATTTAGAAAATAACATTCATTTTGAATTTACAAGTTATGTTAATGTGATTTTAAATTGAATATGATACTCGACAAAAAAAGAAATATTCCACTTCATTTCAATTATTCAATCCAATAAAATTATTAAAAGTTAGTTTCATTGATGTTAATACATCACAAAAAACTTATAGAATCACATGTAATAACATAATCTGATCATATAAAAGATGATGGAAATAATACAAAAGAATGTAATGAACATTTCATATGAGATGATATTAAAAATGTTCATAATTATTATTTAAAAGTACTAAAAATTGGTAAGTTGGTTGTTCATGATCATGAACAAAAGAATATATCAAAAACTAATCAGCCTACTATTTTAATATCCAAATTCATATTATTTCTTGTATTAAAATGATATTGACTTAAATACATAATGTGTTAATGAATAAAAGGATATTCATATTAAAAAGTAATTAAAATATATGAAGAAATGCAATGGTATTGAAATAAAATATAAAGTTAATATTACAATGAAAC